TTAAAGGCCGGTCCGTGAAAATATTGTCGGGCATAAACCGGTCCATGGCGCTAAAAAGGTTGGGGACCGCTGCTTTAATTAAACACAATACTGAGTAAAGTTTTATAGTTGTGTTTATTTGGCTGCTTTCAATCAAATCTGCAAAACTAGACTAAAAGAGAGATAACCCTGAAAACTATATAATGTGAGGCTGTAATGAAGATCTATAAAAATATCTTTTTCTTTTCACACCTTGTTTGTCCTCGGCTTCATCCTGCAGTCTGATGACAAATCAGTGGCAAGGCTCAAACGTTACATTGCCCTCTGCGGCGTGAGGAGAAATTACAAGAAACTGCTGGAGGACTGCCGCTCCATCCGCTCCCAAGTGGCTGTTCTGAAGAAGGAGCTTGAAGAGCTTGGTGTACATGGTGAGTAGGAACCCTTTTTTGTCAAATAAAAATGAAGAAATACATTCTGGCTTATTTGCAGATTTAGATTCTTTAGCAATTACCCAACCCTAAAGAGTGAAACCATGAGTTACCGTTGCTTTCCTATCAACTTGAAACAATCGGGCCATTCTCCTCTGACCTCTGATATCAATAAGTCCTCTTCACCCAAAGAATTTCCTGTCTAGATATTTTCTCTTTCATGGATAATTCTCTGGAAACCTTATGGATGGTTGTGAAGGAAAATCCCAGTAGATCAGCAGCTTCTGAAATACTTAGACCAGCCCGCCTGACACCAACAACAAGTCATTTAAATCATGTTTCTTCCCTATTCTGATGCTCAGTTTGAACTTCAGCAGGTCTTCCTGACCATGTCTACATGCCTAAATGCATTGAGTGTATTTGCTGATTAGATGATTTGTCAGCGAGCAGTTTTATCTAATATCGTTGCCAGCGATCAATCACAGCACACATAGATGCTTAAAGTTAGCCACTGACCAAACACTGCCAGGGGTTTCTTTGGGCTTGATAGAGGATCCCCAAAACAAAAAACTAAAAGTTAACACCCTATCTCTATAAACATAAAAAGTTCCCAGGTTTGGTCCATAAACTGAAAAAAACTAAACCTAATTTTTGAATTGAACCACATGGGCAAATCGTCTTAACAAAACTTTATACTCTAACGCTAAAACATTTTTAGAGTCCATGTGATTCTGCAGATGGAAACTATCCGGTTTCATTTTGTAGTCCATGTGGTTACATTTGTGTAGGCTTTGAGGCTTTAAGGAAATGCCACAACATTGGCTTTTTCCCTCAACAGCAGGGTCATCACATGGTAGCCAAGTTGTTTCCGTATTGAACCCAACATGAAAATTAATTGTTGACAGTTTGAATTTAAAGCTTATTGTCTTCCACACAGGTCAGCCAACTATTCAGAAATGTAAAAAGGTCAGAATGAAGAGAGAGCAAGCTCAAGAACTGGCTGCTCTTGATGTCAACAACATCATTACCACACAAGGTAACCAGCTCTCTTGTCATACTATGTCTCCTTCAGAGTTGTTTCAAATACAGCACTGTAGACACCACGATTCAAAGGATGCAACTAACGCAAAACAAATTGACATTGTTGTTTGTGCTTATTGTTAATCTGATTTAATGATGATTTTAATAACAATTTAAATCTATATTTCTTGAGCAGATATGCAAACAACTGCAAAAATATCTTGAATAGTTTTACGTTTCCTTGTTTTTAGATGGGAATCCTTCTAGGACTTGTAGCTGTGGTTTATTACCTGCTTATGTGGAGAAATGCACAATGCTCATCTTGTGGTGAATACTGAAGTGGTGTAGACAGTAGTGTCAGTTATGTTGTGATTCAGAACCTTTAATATGGTTTCTTCCAAGGTCGACCTACACGCAGGGGAGCCTCAGCAAGTCAGAAACAACAGGACTGTCCGTCCTCTGAATATCAGCGCACTCTAAACTCAGAATCAGACAGTGATCAGGAAAACAATACCCACAGAGGTCGCAGGAAAATGTCAGAATGGGCCAACCTGCAGGGGATCATCAGTGATGACGCAGACAGTGACTGATGAGTCTGTTTCCCCCCCACCCCACCCCACCCCCACCCCCGGAAGTGTTCGATTTGTTTTTTTTTAATGTTTTGATACTAAGCATAACAAAATTAATCTGCCTTTTTTTTATATGGCGATAACAGTGATCAAAAAGGATATTAATGGTGTTTGAGTGTTAAAATATTGTGAATGGCATTTTGTTAACTGCCATTGTATATCTTTGTTAAATCGTATTTCAAATAAAAATACTATGATCAAAATGGATTTATGTGGAGTAGTAATTTACTTTTATGACTGAAATACTGTTTATGAGACAGACAAAAGAAAGGGACCTCATTTCACAGAAAAGATGGCAAAGTTATTGATATTTTCAAATTTGGCAATATTTGACATATTATTTTAGAAATAAATTTGTAAACTTTTCACCTTCTGTAACTGTGCTAGATCCTTCTGTAGTCATGAGCAGTTATAAGAGTTTTGAAGGACTCCAGTCATTGATTTTAATTAACATATTACTGTGGAAGCGAGCTGCGTAACTGCACCGGAACTGTCGTAAACTCTTCGCTATACGGACTATTTCGCAGACGGACTGGTCCCACAGTGTAATTTGACCGTTGTCATTTCTACAGGTCAAGAAGGTATTTCACGTTAATTATTGCAATATTGTTGAGATTTTTCTGTTTTCAATATATGGGAGCACGGCAAAATGATTTCCTCCGATACTACATAAATATTTATTCTCAGCAGACAGCGTAACCTGATAAACTGTAAAGACGGCGTGGATTTGACCCGAAGACTGCTGCAGACAGCATAAAATCACAGCTGTTCGCGAAAACTCAGCATAACCTAATTTTTTTTTTTTTGGTATTTTCACTGTGACTGTTTATTTAAACCATGTATGTAAAATACGTCAGTAAATGTGCGACTGTTAAGTCCTAGCAAAAAAAAGGTTTATAAATATGTAGCTACATGTAGTAATCTCTTTAAAAACTATTTCCTATGAAACTATGAGGTTTCGGTACAGGTGTTTACGGAACATTGGGATGACTGCCTTCACAAAGTGGTGTGTTTGTATTGTAATACCCATTCTGAACGTTTAAACATTGCGTCTGACAGATGTCCGCCATATTATAACAATTTAAAAGAGAGAAATACTTTCAAACAATAAATACTAAATAAAAACAAACGAATCCTTCTGAAAACCTTGGGTGCAGGACACCCAAGCCATTTAAGACTTGTAGTACACTGAATCATAACTGTGTTTGTTTGGTGATTATCTTCTGTTTGTTTAAATTAGCATGATGTCCACTGATGTGCTGCTGGGATTTTCTTCTTTATCCATACACCGTCTACTCTGTCTGAGTCATTGCATCCTCATCTAAGCAATACATTGTGCATTTCTATTTGAGCTCTGTCCTTTTATTATATTTTCTCCTATTTCCCCCTTGCCTTTTTTCCTTCTGTCTGTCAGCTTACGCATGGTCATACTACACTAATCTATATTACATATAATATAATAACTGAAATAACACAAGTAAAAATGATGAAATAAACATAAAACAAACACATTAACAGAGGAGCCTTTAGAGATTTTATAGTTCACACCTTGAAAAAGCAAAATGCGTTTGGCACAACAGCATTCAGATCATAATTCTGATTGCAAAAGCTGCCAGACAGGAAAGGATTTTTGTAACATAAATAATAATAATAATAATTTTAAAAAGTATTTAATTGGTAGAACAAAAAGAAGAAATTTTTCACAATGTTGTGCTTTTTAGTTTTAGTATGTTCTTTTAATTGAGTTTATGTAAATCCTGCATGGAGGAATGGATGATGACACACCAGATGAGGTTATTGCTGAGTTGAAGTCCAGGCCCATTGGAGTATGGGGTGTTGCTCAGATAGCCGCTGGCACTGGGCTTGCTGTATATGCCATGTGGGCAGGAATCCTCCAGCCAGGCTTCCGAAAAGTCCCCTTGAAGCTACAGGTTTGTCTACGTTGCCTGAAATAACTTTTTATATAGCAGTGCTCTTGCAACACTCATTTTTATGTCAGCTCTTTGAAATTTCTCCCAGGTTCCCTACATTCCTGCCAGCAGAGCCCAAGTACAAAATGTGATGACCCTTCTCAGAGGTCGACAGGGAGGTCTTGTGGATTTAGGATCTGGTGATGGTCGTATAGTAAGTATAAACAACATATTTGGGCTGCTTTTTTACTTGCACTGATAAATAACAGAGCTTCGATGTGTTCCTAAGGTCTTGGAAGCCCATCGGCGTGGTTTCATTCCTGCTGTCGGTTATGAGCTTAACCCCTGGCTTGTTCGCCTGGCCCGATTTTATGCATGGAGAGCAGGCCATCATGGAAAAGTATCGTACCGACGAGAAGACCTCTGGAAGGTTTGTCACTTGCGTGTGGTATCAGTGACGCTCGCATGCAACTTTGCAGAATTGCTTCACAAAAAATAAATAAATAAATCTGTTGGAAGTAACCAAGCATGTTTATGAATGTTTCCAAGTTTTTTTATCCTCATATTAATGTGACATTTAATACTTATGTAACTAAATGCTTCAGGAAAGCCAAATGCTTTGTTGTTGTTTTTTAATTATTTATTTTGCTTAAAACAAAATTACTGTTAAAGCTGTTCGCTTATTTATATCCTTCCTTTTATCTCACCACAGGTGGACTTGACAAAATGCAAGAATGTCACTGTGTTTTTGGCTCCTAGTGTGGTGAGTAATATTGTGAACATATACATGAGCTATGAACTGTTTATAATGGGGAAATAAAGAATGAAAAATAATTTGGGTTCATCCAACACAGGATAAAAATAGATGTGGTACAGTGGATTATAGGCAGGCATTAGATAATTTTTATGAACATTATTATTGAGTATTGCCGTAATTTTAGCTTTTCTCTTGTGTTTGCAGCTTTCGTTGTTGCAGGAGAAGTTAGAGGCCGAGCTGCCTGATGATGCCTTAGTGGTGGCAGGCCGTTTTCCCCTTCCTGACTGGAAACCTTGCATAATTGAGGGACATGGCATGGACAGAGCTTGGGCATACAGCGTGCAAGAACAAAGACAGCACACTGTCAACAGAAATAACCTCACAGCCACAGAGTCTTTTACAGTGAACTAACCAAAGCCCTATATATGTATATATTTTTTTTATTTTTATTTTATTTTATTTTTTTGCTCTCCTACAATTGTAACATAGACTTTTATAAATTTGCTACTTTTATGACATAAATCACATTAACTGAAATGTGACAGATTTTTTCAACATCTGCAGCAGGATATTTCACACATGCTGCTGTTGCTTTACTCCTCTGTGGCCCGGGGACTGTGTTCACAAACAGAGAGAGAATCCTGGCAGAGAGCTTGAATAATGGTGTACTTATAAAAACTAAGTAATATAATTAATTCATAGTGTGAATGTGAGTGTGAATGGTTGCCTGTGTCTCTGTGTTAGCACTGCGACAGACTGGCTAATTATTAGTCAGTTAGTCATCTAAGAAGGGAAGACTTTTAAATATTCATCTGCTCTGGAGTTTGCATTGCCACCCATATAATAAAGAGCTGTAAGTAACGTTCTGCTTTTGATGCCATTATTTTAACTCTTTTTTTTCCCCTTTTTTTTAGTATTTGTTGTATGTGTAATATTTGACTTAAGAGAAATGTTTCAATCCCAGAATGCAGCAGGCTTTTCTGAAGTAGCAATCGTGTAAATGCTTTGTGAATGTAGATTTAGGGTGCTTAGTGCTGGCAAAAATGTTCTGTGTGTGCAATGTGGCTTCAAGTAACTGAGCACATGGTATCCAAAGTGTCCATGCAGTAACAACAGCACAGTTGTTGTACTATATACATTGCTGTATTCTTGTATGACACAGTAAGCTTTATAAATGTTATCTATGTATACATGCATGCATCTATCCTGTGTTGTAAATAATCATACATTGCTCCATTCTCTAGTGTTTTGTTCTTCTATCGGCTGCTCACTTTAGGGGTCGCCAAAACAAACGATGCTACTGCTCTATCCCCAGCATCCGCTTCTGTCACATCAACCGTCTGCATGTCCTTCTTCACTACATCTATCAATCTTCACTGTGGTCTTCCTCAGTGTCAACCTTGCCTCTAACACTCTTACTAAACATCTCAACTTGAGGTCTATCCTGGTCGCTTCCAGTGAAAAGCATAAAATCTTCAGCTCTTCCTTCAGTTTTTTTTGTCAGTGCCTTTTCCTCCAAACCATACACCATAGCAGATCTAACTGTTATCTTGTATACTTTGAATTTCACTATTGCTTCTATCCTTCTGTCAGAAATCACCCCTTACCCTTGTCTCCACCCACTTCTGCCTGCAATCTCTTCTTTGCCTCTGTTGGGCTCTGTCCATTGCTTTGGATGGTTGAATGGAGGTATGTCAACTTGTCATTCAGACACATGTGTTCTGTCTTGCTTCTACTGGCTTTTATTTCACTTTAATTTTCTTTATTCTGGAACATACCTCCACCTCTCCAGCCTCCAGCCTGTCCTCAGTGTCCTGCAGCACCCACACATACTTCCCTGGCACTCCTGACTTCCTCATGCAGTACCACAGTTCTTCTCTTGGCACCCTATATCATGTGCTTTCACTTTTAACCCACATACATAGAGACACAACGCCATTCCTTCTGACCTTCTCTGTACTTCTCCATCAACACTCAAAGCAAAAGTCGCATTTGTAGTGCTCTTTCTTGACATGGAGCTATACTGCTGCTCTAAACATCCTAGCTCCATCAACTCTTTTCCATAGCTTAATGGCATGGCTAATCAGCTTTATCCCTATTTAGTTACTACAGCGCTGTACTCACCATTGGTCTTGAATATCTGTCCCAGTACACATCCATTCCTCAGACATCCTCTCACTTTCCAATATAGTGTTAAATAGTCTGGTTGTGGCATGTATAGCTATTCTTATGTAAATTATAAATCTTTCACCTTTACCTGTATAGTGAATACAATTCTTCTGTATATGACAATCTTGGGTTTTAAGTGCTAATAACTATCTGTTATATATAAGATATAGTGCAAACTTTATCAATGGTCCTTCTTCTGTTTATGTAACCTTACTTCTTTGAAAGCCAGGCAAATTCCTGTGTTTGTATGTTTGTGTGGGCGAGCCAGGTTTCAGCAGAAGCACAGTATTATAATAGCATTTTGCATAAGGCTTTTTAGGGGAAATGACAACATGAAACATATGAAGGTCTTTTTTTTAGAGTAAATTCATTCGTTTTATTTTACCTTTGTTCATAACTTTGAATTATTTAACAGTAAAGTGTTTTAATTTGAAAGCTATAACCGGAGACTGTTTTTTTTCTTAATGTGAGTGACTTGACAGAGCTGATTGGGTTGTTTGCAGCAAAAGAGGAAGTTGCAATGGAGACCCTGAAACCTGCAAGCTAGCTTTATTCTTGAGCCGCCCTAAGCACCGAGAAGGGGAATGACAGGAACGGTCGCTGATAGCATTTTATAATTATTGTTGTTGCGGATTTATAAACGTTTAGGTTTGTGTGTTTTTAAAGCCCGCTTTGACTTTAGAAATCGAGACTGTCGTGTCCGGACACAGGAGCATGTCTGCGGTTGACAGTTAGCGAACGAAAATTATTCCTTCATCCTTCTAGAAAAGCTAACTGGCTAGCCATCCGCTGCAGCGTTAGCAACTGGGTAATTTAGCATCAAAATGCCTGACACAAAACGCTAATTAAAGCTGCACACTTACGTGGTGTCGGCTAGATGCTGACAAAACTATATTTCTGTATTCAACCTAACGGTGGAATTAGCGTTGAGCTGCAATGCGGCTAGCCTCTGGGCTCGGCATAGCTAATTTAATGTCAAGTCTTTATGCCTGGTAGTCGAAAACCGCTTTATTCGAGCAAGGTTGAAATATATATATACATTCAAGGTACAGTCAGCGAGGCCAGACTTTGCTAGCTAGTTTTATGTAGATATCAGTTTAAGCAGTCGAGCTGAGCATGATGAGCTCCCTTTGCGGTTACGTTAGCCAGCAGTACCATAGCTAATGTTAGCCGCACGATTGGCTAACTGGGTAACTAATGTTGGCTTATTACTGTAATTAACCAGCGACTAAGTCAACTGAAGACAGCATCCGAGCCAGCTAAACATGGTAAGTATAATTTAAACTCTGGTATTTATCCAGTTGTTCATCTTTCTTCCTCCCTTCCTGCTGAGGGCTAACGCAATGGATAAGCTTAAATCTTTATTCTACTTCTGAATATAAAGATCTGTCATTAGTGAAGATGAATACATTAGCATACAACTGGCAGCGTATGGGGATACGTTGTATGCACTTATACCTGTATACCTTTTTTTGTCATCTAACGGTTCTGAGGCCAGGTATTTCACAGGATGTGACAGCTCTTAAAGCCATTTTACGGCACAGGACGCCCATCTTGCAAAACCGAATATTTTGTTTGACTAGTGTTGAGTCTCGGCAAGTTGTGGCTTATTTGTGGAATTCAGACTTGCCTGGCATAGGGGCTAAAATCTCGATATGCTATCTTGCGTTCGTAGGCAGGGCCCAACTTCCTCCACATGAGAAAACAAGGGTAGTGCCAAACTATATTACGATTAAGCCTGTGCTGTTGCCTTTTATAACTAAGTGCTTTACTCAAACAGCAAGCTGGTGTAATAATTGGCTATAAGAACAAGATACTTGTATGCCAGTGTATTGTTCTCTTTACTATGTGTGAACATGTGTATGAGGACTCTCTTTCTGTATGCACGATTGTGTTGTTATACCACGATTGTACACAAAAAACAAAGGAATTCCTCTAAAGACTTAGTGATTATATGCTCTGTATGGTGATGGATCGCTCATGTTGTTTGTACTTTACTTTCTATTACCTATTAGGCTTCAGAGGAGGCATCGCTGCGCGCACTAGAGGGCCTGATGACGGAGTTCTTTCATAGCTGCACAACTAATGAGCGAAAAAGAGAAATTGGTAAGTAAGGTCTTGCAAAACAGTACACTTAAGAAGTATGACCATGATGCAGTATTTTAAGGTTCCCATCAGGCTGGTCTAAAATGGAAACGACACAGAGCAGTGTAAGAATGTGTAATTGAGGGTTAATGTGCCTACCCCATAATCATCCACAGTAACGTACAAACGTTTCATGCGCGTTGACCACTCCTCCTCCTCATTTCCTGTGTGATTACCTGTTTTTGCTCTTAAATAAATTCAAAATATCTACAGTAATTAAAGAAGAGCTAAAAATGTTTAATTAAATATGGAAAAAGGAACCTAATCAATGCATTTCTTGGTGAATGTTGGTCTGTCATGCATATCTGTGGATAGGTTGACCACAATGTGCTCAGGTTGTGCAAGGATGGTTGACTCTTAACTTTAAACATTTCTAATTGGTACCAGCCCTTGCTAATTGTTACCAGAAGTACTATACCATTTCTATACCATTTAAAATGTCTCATAGCACATGCATTAACTTTAAAGTTGTTATGTGCTTTATTAAAGGGAAACCTTTGTAGAGCTCAGTTCTTGGTTTAAAAAAAAAAAAAAAGCTAAAGGAGCCTTTGTCTTTTGATGTAGATGAACGGTAGAGTTTCCTCTATGTGAAACTCTCTTGCCCTTATCCTTAAAATTCTTAAAAGATAGTATATTCCTGCATTGAATAGTCTGGAGCTATAAATACAGAGATACTGTTGAGTGTCAGGATCATGTTTAAGGTGGTCTAAAATTGTTTTGTTTCTATAAAAAACATTAATCTTTTGCATTCTTGGTTTTTTTAAACTTCCACTTCCTGTGTTGTGACGCATTACTTTCAGTCTGATTGCTAGCGAGGTGCTAGTATTGAACTACTTCTGTGAGAGCTCATGCTTACTTCCTTTTTTCTGCAGAAGAGCTGCTGAATAACTTTGCACAGCAGACTGGAGCGTGGCGCCATTGCATGTTCTTCCTCTCCAATACTCGGAATGAGTATGTAATGATGTACAGTCTCACAGTATTTGAAGTAAGTCCTGTAGGTGGAAGATGCATGTTCTCAGTTCAAAGTACTAGCAAGAGCTTTCTCTCTTCTTTTTTTTAACATTTTGTTTTCAGATAATTTTAGATACTTAATACATGCATACTGCGAGAAGAGGCGTATGTTAACAAGAATGTGTTTCATGGCCTTTTCCTGTTTCCTCATTTTTTATAATTCTGCAAGTGAAGTTAGTTAAAAGTGTAGCAAATTTTCCACAGAATGAAAGAATGAGCATAAAGTGCCCTTTAAAAGCTGCCTTTAACTTAAAATGTATATCTGAAATGCCTAATTTTTTTTTAACCTCATTATATTGTGTTTCAGACTAATCTTAAATGGATTACATCTTTTATTTAATATAAAACCTTTACTGAAGTATTCCCTTTCTTGCATATGACATCCTACTTTTATCCGTGGGTTGTGGGGTTGTTGTACAGCTGATTGGGACATGTGCCTTAATTCAACATAATTTAGAACTGAAAACATCAGCCTTGACTTTCTCTCACTATCTGTGGTGTATGTTAGAGTTAAAACCAAACTATGAGATTTAGAGAATTTCCTGCAAGCTGTGATTCAAGTCTAGTGGGAGCTGGAGTTGGGGTTGCAATTAAAAGAAGAGATAAAAATACCTTAGTTTCATCCAGGAGTCAAGAGCACTGAAACCTCTGATTCTCAAGTGAAAGCTGTTAGGAAATACTGCATTTTACCAGTCTATCACTAGAGTGGCCACTATTCCTCACTAAACGGCTGAGAATTTTCCCAATACACCTGAACAACTCAGAACACGGAAGCAAAATCCTGTGGTCTGATCCATTTGTTCCTAATTGCCTGTTCAGTTTATGGCTGCAGTGAGATGAAGCCTGCCCAAGCTTTCATAAGACAAGACGCAGGGTACACCCTGGACAGGTCGCTGGTTCATGGAACGCAAAAAGTGTGTTTTGCCACACTGTGTGGAGGGAACCAAAGACAGGCAGCTGTCAGTAGCAGCAGCATGATGGGATGGTGTTTTTCTTAGATGGTGGATGGTCAGGAAGGTCAGATCGAGTGTAGTTGGCTTTCAGGCTGGTAAGGTGATTTATAAATGTAATTGAGCAAGGGGGGGGAAGAGCATTAGCTTTGGGAAACGTAGCAGACCTGAAAATCCTGCGCACTGATGCTCCCCCTCATTGGTTCAACAATAAAAATTTCCTCCAATAACGAAAGAAATGTTTTAAAATGTAAAAGGCTTGCAGGATCTTCCCCAAGACGATTTGAGATGCTATACCTGGCAAAGGTGCTTTACCCAAGTGAAGGGTCCTTCCAATAAATTGACAAATATTTTTCCTTGGTCATTGTGGAGTTCTGTGCACAGATTGGGTGGGGAAAAATAATCCCTTATAAGATGGGCCTAAGACATTGTGGAAGTGCACTGCATATGTTTGTATAAATATGTTTTTGTCATCTGTACACATGTTTTACAGTTGATTGCTAATTGTAATTTTCAGAACCTGGTAAACAAGATGTGGATTGGAGTTGCTTCCCAGGACAAGATGGAAATTCGCAGCTGTCTTCCCAAACTCCTCCTTGCTCAGCACAAATCTGTGCCCTATTTTATCCGTAATAAGCTTTGTAAAGTCATTGTAGACATTGGTCGCCAGGATTGGCCGATGTTCTACCATGATTTCTTTACAAACACCCTTCAGGTAAGGAGTAACCCTTGAAGCTGTTTTTCTGACCGGAGTGGTGTCTGTCATATTTTAGGCCTGTTTATTGAACAAAATGACTTGGTTTGCAACAAAAGTTAGTGAGGGTGGTCTCTCAATATCAAACCACATCTTTGATATTGATATTGATATTTATATAAGTGTCAAAACTTGTCATTATCGGTACAGGGGAGGTCATCTTTAGGGGTGAAAGGGTTAAGTAATGAAATGAAGCTGATGAAGACACAAAAGTTGCATTACAAAACCAGAGCTTCTGTTGCATGGAACATATATATGTTCTTGTGTAATTTGAAGTAGTTCTAAAAAATATCCCTTCTCTGTTCCTCCCTTCTGGTCACATTTATTCCAATTTCCTTTGAGGTTGTCTTTTGTTTTTCTTTTTTTTGTTGTTGTTGTTGTTGTGTTTTTAATCAATTTGCTGTACTTATGTCAGCATTTTAAGTTTGCACAAAGATGTTTTGAGGAAGTGGCACAGTCTTAAATAGAGAAGTTCAGTTATAATCCAAGAAAAATACATTTTTGTTTTAATCTCATGAGATATCTGAAATAAACCCAAATGAATTCTGCATTAAATTGTTCATTCAGAGTGGTAAGCCACATGAACTAGAGCTTGATATCATCTTGTCTCGTGGTGTGTTTTGCTAATAAATGCCTCCTTAAACAGCCAAACTTAGTATGTGTAATGCATTTGTTCTGTAAAGGGAAATTACATTCAATAAAGGTCCTTTTGTTTTATTCTAAAACAGCTGTGTTAGGCTTTGAGTGTATGCAATGAAATAACCTGATCTGTTAAACTTCTATAAAGTCTGTCAGTAGGCTTTTAACCAAACAGCTTGGAAAGTATTTTGGAGAATTAGGTAGGTCACTAGGTAGTCGATAAGATTAACGTTTTGAACTGTGTGTGTGTCCGTCAATCTCCTGTCTATAGTTGATCCAGTCCCCGGCTCTGGCTCCACTGGGGTTGGTTATGTTAAAAACCACATCAGAAGAGCTTGCATGTCCTAGGGAAGACCTGAGTGTTGCCAGGAAAGAGGAGCTCCGTAAACTGCTGCTGGAGCAGGTGCCAACAGTGCTTGGACTGTTGACCGGTGAGGACAACCTTTAATGCTTTGTGAACTCTTAGTGCTACTTAACAGGGGTCTCTCCCTGTCCCCCTGCAACAAATTAATATTTGTTTTGGTTTGGTTTTTTGGACGATTCAGAGGTGTCCCTATATTCTAGCAAACAAACCGTTTCGCAACATTTTTGTTACTGAAATATAATTTTGAGGGATCTTAATATGCCACGTTTCAAAGGATGGAAAGGACAGTCGTAAATGCAGGTGTACTGTTAAGAGTAAAGCGTTGCTATATAAAAAAAAATATAATAAGGTTTGCTAACTTTATTTAGGATCAAATATGACAAATCAGACAAATCCTTCAGTATGTGTTAGTAACTGGGTACTTGTTTTCAGGAATTCTGGAGACATACTGGGACAAGCACAGTGTCATAGCTTCTACACCGCCTCCCTCACCCACCTCAGGGGAAAGCAGTGAGTGAATTGTCCCTTTCAATGGTTAAAATGGGAAAGACTTAAAATTGTGAAACAGGAGTTTGTTTCTTCTTTATTAACCATAACATTTTGTGTTTCTTGAATCAGTGGAATTGCTGGGCAGCTTGTTTCAAGGTAGCCAGTACTCAAAACTGCTTTGTCAGCCCATGGCAGCATTGGACAATGAGAGTCATCAGCTCTGTTGCCTTGTTTTGGAGTGCTTGGCCCACCTGTTCAGCTGGATCCCTTTGTCTACAAGTATTACGCCCACCTTGTTGGCATCCATTTTCCATTTTGCACGATTTGGCTGTGATCTTCGGCCAAAGGCCAAGACAGACTCCTTCATTTCTTCCAACTCCTCCTCCTCAAATGGACAGCTTAATCCTGGGACAATGCCACCAACATCAAATGGAGGAGAGCTAAACGGACAGCAAAACGAGGCTAACAAGGTGGACCGGGCCCGGCTTGGTTTACTTGCCATGACCTGTGTCAATGAACTGGTGTCAAAGAACTGCGTGCCAATGGATTTTGAGGAGTACTTGCTGCGAATGTTCCAGCAGACCTTCTTTCTTCTTCAAAGGCTGACACGAGAAAATAATGCTCATACAATCAAGAGCCGCTTACAGGAACTTGATGAGAGGTATGGCTAAATTCTTAATTTGACCAGAGCATTGGTGCATGAGCAAACTCGCTCTGTACAGCCATTTACTTACCCTATGACACAGGTATCAGCGGTATTCTCCCTCCATGTTATGTCATTGCCACTTACCAATTGGTATTTTGGTCACACCCCACAATATGACATTATCACATAACTTTACTTGCCATATGATACTATTGCAATTTTGGGCATCTATCAATAGTATTGCATTGGCATATATTGTTATTTATTACCTTTTTTTGACTTCATTATGTCCTCAGAGTTAACTTTGTCAATACCCAATCAGGAAAAAGTTATCTTACTTTTTTTATGAGCTTGTCAGTCATACCAACACTATCACTAAAACCTGCCATAAAAGATGGGAGTCAGACTGCAATTGAGTGGGGTCAAGTTGGCAATTATGTGTAATCTGTTTCTGATAATACAACAATTCTGCCATCCCTATTGGTCTTTGCCAAGAATGTTTCCTTTTGCAAATATCTATTAGTTTCTTATAGGGCTGTGCGATATGACCAAAATCTCATATCCCAATGTAAGAATTCTATCATTCCGATAACAATATAAATCACAAAAATGTAACATTTTTGTAAATTCTGTGAATCTCGGGCAGCTCGACTTGTGGGAAGTGTTTCCAGCTGCGCGTCATGTAGCTGGAGTCAAGTGTTTTAACCGATGCATGAAACTATACATTTTTAGACATAAGTTGTAACGGCCGCCGTTTTCTTTGTGAGTATTTATTACACGGCGTGCTGCGGGGAAAAGCCTGTTCTAACTTTTGAGTCTGAGGTTTATTTTTTAGCACCTGGCAGCTATTTTTTACTTTTCATCCATAAATAATCTGCTCTTTCACGTGATTCAGTTTATTTTGAAAAGTCTCAACAGGATCTTGAGCTTTATTGTGAAA